CATACTGTCAAGACACTTGTCAAGAAAAATCAAGAACCTAATTAGACAAATTCATACTATGTCAAGAATTTTTAAAAATTATTCAGACAAATTAAGAATGTCGAGTAAAAATTCATGCAAATTCAGACAAAAACTGGTCTTTTCAGACTTTTTGACTTTTGTAGTGTATGGAATAACCGTTTCACAGATGATATCGGATATGTTCCTTATGTCGTAACTACAATACCCTTTCCTTTTCACGAATGTGACCTACCGAATTAGACTATTTACCGGATTTGTAATAACATACGCAACACGACGGGTGCCACATGTGGAGCAGGATCTGCTTACCCTTCCGGAGCACCTGAGATCACCCCCAGTTTTTGGTGGGGTTCGTGTTGCTTAGACTTTAGTTTTCTATGTTGTGTCATCTGTACTATTATTTGTCTGTTTGTCTTTTTATTTTCGTCATTGCGTTGTCAGTTTGTTTTCGATCTATGAGTTTGAATGTCCCTCTGGTATCTTTCGTCCCTTTTTTATAAAAAATTCTGGATCCGCCACTGTCACCACTATATTACTGTACATGGTCAGGTTACCTCAGGTCACCACTGCATTACCTAAACGGCGGTCAGGTCATTTTAACAATTTTATTTTTCCTGAAAATCAGATTTAATTTGACCATCCACCCCCAGTCAACACGCACACATAAGATGAATGATCGGTGGTTTAGGTATGAAAATAATTAAATCACCTGGCAATTTGGTTAACATCTTTGGTATTTATTCACATTAAAATTTGGTATTAAGATCGATCCAAATAGGGGACTATATTAGCGTGCGAATTAATCGATGACAAATTCCCCCGGTTACCTGGGGTAGCTATTACTTGAGGTCCCACATCAGCGGACCTTTTATCCACCTTCATTCAATTTGATTTGAATTTATGACAACTCATCCCATGGCCAACTCGCACCACTCAAATACTCTCACTAATTATTACAACTTGCATCATTTTTAGTCTAAATTTATCAAACTCGCACCACTCAAAAAAAGAAATATAACAAACTCGGAAGAAATGTGTTTAAACATTAGATTGTTTTCTTCTTCTCTTAGTAAATTCCTCCTTTCTTGGAGCACCCGTGTCACACAGAGACAGAACTCGCCCCACTCAAAAAAAAAAAAAAAAAATACTACAAATTCGCACCACATCATCAGAGAGTTCTAGATTGTCTTCTCTTAGTTATTGCCTCCGTTCTTGGAGCACCAGTATCACACAGAGACAGAACTTGGCTCGCACCTTTCGAAAAAAAAAAAAGAAATACTAAAAACTAGCACTACTGAGAAATGTTTTAATCATCACTGTTCTAGGTTGTCTTCTTCTTCTCTGAATAATTTACTCCGTTCTAGGAGCTCCTGTGTAACACCGAGACAGAAGCTACTAATTGGACATTCAAACTCCTATGGAAGAAGAACTGACAAAGTAATCAAAACTACAACATAATGCATCAGTGCATAAAACAGTTTGAGAAACACGAACCCAAGCTGTGTATCACCATAAACATTTCAAGAAGGCTTCAAGACGCGCTCGTGCGGGTTTTTTCTAGTAATATATAAGAATGAAAAACTTTTCCAGTATTACAAACATCTACTAGTGATTTCTCCACAAGGTAAGTGCTCTGTGTATTCAGGCAAATATAGCCAAAAAGTACATTACAACGCATGTATCGCAAATTGGACTTTTGAAACACACATTCAAAGTTTCAATTAAAACAACAATATACCTCTACCGTGTTACTTTTATGTAATAGTTATACACCGAGGGATAGGTCCAGACACGCCTATCCAGACACGCCGTATCCCGAAGTGTATAACTAAGTTACACCCGATGCTAAACTCTATATTTGTTTACAATGAATATTAAATGAAAAGGAACGGATAGCATTTTTATTGACAAAATCAAACCATGATCAATAAGAATTTATTTTTATATGAAACCCCACTAGTAACCTTACTTTGACGATCTTCATTCAAATGTCAAAGTTGCCATTTGCATATTCCCGTTAAATCCATGTCCTAATATGGATCAGCAGGTCAAGGTTGACCTTATCGTGCATTCTTATTACAAAATAACTACATCATGCCCCTTGTGTGCAGTTGTCAATATGGACGGGTATAAGACAGACGACATTTTGAGTCTGGCATTTTATTATTTGGTAGAAGAGACTATAAAGATAAAGGCAATATTAATAACCCAAAGTACTTACATGTATCAGTTTAATGAAGGTAATCAAAAATGTATTTTATATGTTACGGATTTATAAAAAAAAAAAAAAAGCCCCCCCCCCCCTCTTCTCAACATTAAACAAACATTCATATTCGAACATACTGAGGGATAGGTGTGTTTGGGTTAGAAACCCGACGACCGGACACGCTTGACATACAAAAATACAGATAGCATATTTAGGAACCCCCCTTTTTTACGATCAATGCTTTAGAATAGAGACATATGACTGGCGTAACAATAGATCTATTCAATTTATTCAATTTACACTTGTTTCAGAAATAGAAACTATGAAGTATAACAATAGAATTTGGGTTAATATTCTATAATAAATACATTTGTATTGTATGTGTCGAGTATTGTCACAAAATTAGCCTTTGGCTACACCATTGAATATAGAATTGATCGAATTAACCTACTACTCCGCTTTAAAAAGAAAATTTGTTTTGCTCCCCCTTCCCCCTTCATCTTCCCCAACTCTTTGGCAAAATTATTTAAAAAAAAAACGATAAAGAAAGGGGACACTGACTAAACTAACCTATAATTAGAATACAGATGTGTGTTTGTCCTGTTCGTCACTTACAGGATTTAAAAAAAAGGAAGATGTGAATGCGCTTAAAGGACGGACATTTTATATGTTGGGTCAGTAAGAGGATGTCGGGTAAGGGGATGGAAATTCATGTATTTCTACTAGGTAGCTTCACTGACTATATAAAAGGTAGAAGACTCAAGTTTTAACTTTTATAGGATACAAGAGACCTTTATAATATCTACCATAACCCGACAACAGGTTCACGTGTTTTGTCCAAGTCAGAAATCTGAATTGTCTTTAGTAATTGTCTGGGTAATAACCTAATGTTTTGTCCATTAAGAAATTGGGTGTTGATAATTCTTGATAAGTTGATTCACAACGTTCTATATAAAGTTTGACTTTATACTTTATTGACACTTTACTATTGTAAAAGAATGTACGTTGACTTCTTTGCAAGGGAGGGGGAGGGGGGCGCTGGCGGGACCGCCCCCCTTTTGTGGGAATAATTTGGTTGATTATATAGGGAATCACTGAAGGATGACTGGAGCGGGGCCCCCTTAGGTCAGTCAGCTGGGCCCCCTTATTAAAAGTTCTGGATCCGCCACTGACAGATATGTATATCTTATTTTGCTAATCGCGGGATTGCTAATCGCGGGATTACTAATCGCAGTTGCCAGTGCCCAGGCGGGGACTACCAGGCGGAGCAGATTAATCATAATGAATCATACATGAACACATTTCCTATAGATGCAAAAAAAGAAATTTTTATTTTTCTTGATAACAATAATAATGAAAATACTACTGATGATATCCCCGACCACAAAAAAGAAGCAAGACATTTGAAGTGTTTGTATCGTCGACAGTGGGCCGTTGGCGTTGCAAACGTGATTACCCTAAAGTGTTACAAGTATACAAATATAAAAATGAGAGAAAGAAGAAAAGAAAAAGCAAACAACTTAATTGTAAATCCTTCAGTGGATCTGCTAGGACCCTAATGCCCATGTAGAACTTACGTACAGATTAGTTACAGCTGCTGGCTGCTGCAAAAGGCAGACGACTAAGTTCCAGGTGCTCTCTATCGCGTCCGCTTCGTTTGATAAAGGTAAAATATGTCCAACAAAATTTCGATATAATTTAGCCATATTAGTATTTGAAAATATTTGAAAATGATCTCAAATCTAAACTTGGCAGAGTACGCCACGAACTCAAAACTGATAGATGAACTTAAAAATGTATAGGGGTCAAAAGAATCGTTTTGCTGTCTAAAAAGTTTTAGCAGAGACATATAATATCGGACCTACTCATTTGTTGGTGTTCAAGATTGCCTTTGCTAGTCTTGTATTTTTTTTAATTTTAGTTCATTTATATGTTTCAGAGTTTAGTGTGAAGTCCATTTTTACTCTGAACTAGTACACATGTGTGTTTAGGGGCCAGCTGAAGCCCGCTTCCGGGTGCGGGATTTTCTCGCTGTGTTGAAGACCCATTGGTGGCCTTGGGCTGTTTTCTGCTCTTTTGGTCGGGTTGTTGTCTCTTTGACACATTCCCCATTTCCATTCTCAATTTTAAGATATGTTTCAACTAATTGCAATTTGTATTTTGTGTCACCTTGGTATATAAATCTGACTTTCAACTTACTATTAAATCCACCGCCGTGTGATCCCAGCTGTACACTGTTGATGGCAACGTGTATAGACCTGAATGTTTTGAACCTAAATTAAGTCATTGAAATGTGTAAAATAAGGCAACCGTGGTTTCCCGATGTTCAAATCTGGTAAACCGATTAGGAAGGGACATATCAGGGTAACAAACAGAAGCTGAGGGAACTGCATGTACATAAAAATAAGCGAGACCGGGTGCGTCGACAGGGTAAGCGTCTCCTGCAGTGCATGCATCACCCGCCATGCGAATTCACACTCGGTAAAAATGTCACAATCGGGAATAGAACCCAATCGGTAAAATTACAGATCAGACGACTATACTGGCATATAAAGATATAAGACCGCGAAACATGTCACTAGTGAGTTGAGATAGCGACACATCGCATCGCTCAACCAATTCGTGATGATGGTCGTAAAACTTCTGTACGTAGTACTTAGTGTCGATTTCACCCCATTCGCACACTAACATTGAGTTTGTTCGTCAGTATCACCAATATTCTTTCATGTAAATCAGTAAAATAAAAGTAGTAATGTAGAGGGAGTAAATATTACAAATTTATTATAAAAATCATGAAGATTCAAACATATCACTCATTGAAGAGGTATAACTGCAAAACTGTGACGTAACTGTTGTTGTATCTGAAAACAAAACCATATACAAATATAAGGTTCGACAATATCTTAAAAAGGAAACATGGTACACACGAAAAAATACCATAACTTGCTGCAATGTTAATGTCACGATTCGATTTTTTAGAGATAAAGTATGATATGAACAATTTAATAAAAAGAGTCAATACGTGGGCGTGACCACAAGAAAATTTTAATAGACGGAAAACTTTCTCATGTTTAACTCATTTTTTCATCCTTTAATATGCTTAAAAGAGGCGAAAGATACCAAAGGAACATTCAAACTCATAAGTCGAAAATAACCTGACAACGCCATGGCAAAAAACGAAAAAGACCAAAAGACAAACAACATTATACAAAACGCAAAACAGAAAACTAAAGACTGACCAACACGAGCCCCACCAGAAACCGTGGGTGATCTCAGGTGACCCGGAAGGGTAAGCAGATCATGTTCCACATGTGGTAACCGTCGTGTTGCTCACGTAAGTACATGTACAGAGGATAAATCCCATGAGGTATGTTTTAAGTGGTTTTACCTGAGGCCGTTGTTGTATTTGAAGGTGATGTACTTGGTTCAGTATCGATGTCTGGAATTATAACTGCTGACCAGTTCTCATCTAGGTATGCTACCATACTGATATCCTGTCCCAAACTAAATGACTTGTCGTGTTGTTTTACTTTGTCTACCAGCTTCTCTATCAGTTTGTCTCGGCGATACAGCTGAAGTTCTAATTGTAAGACTTTCGTCTTCTGGTGCTCGAGCTCGCGTTTGTCCCAGTCAGTAACATTATTTGCTTTAGGAAAGGTTCCATTGTTTAACATCGTTGGTTGCTGTGGTGCTGCAGTGATAGACAATTTTCCACTAGGTTCTTTATCTAAATAGATGAAAATTTAATTACAGGCTACTTCCGTATGTGTTGTTAGACCTCCATCTCTTAAATCGTGATCAATTTCCCAAAGAAACTGTGAAAATCTTCAACCCTTTTTACACCCATGAAGGCTTGGAAAATAGGTAATAATTACATTTGAACCACCTGACCGGTGTATTTTGCCTATTCAGACAACCAGGGGGTTAAAATGGAAGTCTCTCTAAATGATATTTATTCAATTGTAAAAGGGGTCTGGATGAAAACATTAATTTCAATTTTTGCCTAGACTTCTTTTATACGCACCTTGCACATGCCTTATACATGTTATAAACACCATGAAAGTTAGTCAGATGATTTAGGTTTAAAACAGAACAACCACACACGACTGTTTACGCCATCTGTTGTCCGTAATTAATGAACAGGTGTATTATCGCGAATCAATTTTGACGTTCATAACATGTGCTTTTCTGTAGAAAATATATCCGAAAAGATAAAAGAAACGCATTCATTCTTATGGGGAAGAAAGTTGCTAAAAGTACAATGTTGGAGGGTCTAGATTGGGCCTTCAATTCTGTATTCCTTAATTTTTTAACCAACTTTTCTCTCTTCATCATAATTTTGGCCCATTATTCTCTATTCTTTATATTTTAACACCCCATTATTTTCTATTATTTTTGGGGGTCCATTTGTCTCTTTTCAATTCTTTTTGTCCTTATTTTCTGCACTCTTTGTCCATTATTCTTTATTCTTTAAACACCATCTAGACCCTCATGTTGTTTTCTATACTCTATTATAAACACTCATTGGGAAATGTAGACCTCATGTATGTGACTGTATGTAATTTGTCGTGTACTTTTGAACCTTTCAGTTTTAAGAGCTTTTGCTGTTTTGTTTATTTGTTGTTGTTTGATTATTATTAGGATTTGTTTTTGTGTTTGTTTGTTTTTGTTTCGTTTATTTTTCTGCTTTGCTCTGTTTGTTTGTGCATTTTTTTTGTTTTTGTTTTGGGAGGTGGTTGTATGTTTTTTTTTAAATTATTTACGGGTATTATTTCTACCTTTAATTTGATCCCTTTCCTTCTTTAGACCATTAATATGTAAAAAGCAGATCTTGAGTTTGTCTTCGTATACTTGTGATTTATATCGTATATGTTCCTAATCAAATAAAAGACAGATACATAACCTATAACTTTTAAAAATACACGTCAGACATTTGAATTATCAAAACCTATATTTAAACATCAATTCATATACACCATTTAACCGACATTTAATTCATATATTTAGTCTTTAGCTAATCTTGTTTGACTACCCAAATCGTACATAATTTGAAGTTTGAATTAAATGATTTTAAAGTGTTAGAATATTTATTACCAAAAGATGTGCCCGTTCTTCTTTCATATTCTCGATCCTGTTTTCTCCATCTTCAATTTCACCTAAGAAAAAATAATTGTGTAACTACAGCAACCGAATGAGGATCTTCGTGACTTTTAAGATCGTGTATAGATTGCTGATTTATATTAAAATTGTTTGCTTTCCAAATTTTTGGTCACGAGGGAACATGATGAAGATAATTCCAAAGACACGTGTTGTGCATGCGCAAGGAATTCATGTTTTTTTTTACGACGATGCATTTGTTACATTCACATATTTTTTTAAAAAAATGGGCTTCAGTAAAACCAATTTTACTCTTTCAGAAAGGCCTCGAAACCAAAAACTAATAAAAGGCTTAGTGAAAAAAAAAACAAACTTTGAAGTCAATATTGGAATTACTCAATACTGCATACTGCTGATCATGCATTTTAAGAAACTTGTATAATCTTATCATGGTACAAGTAGATAATTGAATACAAAATTATATCAACTCAAACATACAAATACGTCGGCAAGTATGTTACTTAAAAGATATGAAATTTTGATTTATGATATTGTTTATTTCCATATTTACCAAAGCTATTAATGCTAAATTTTGCCGTTATTTCGTAGTGCATTTCTTTTAGACAATACATTCAAATTTAAAAAATCGCACCTGCTCTATCTCAAAAAGATTTCTACAGTGTAGTGTACTACTTTTGGGACAAATAACTTATAGAAAAGTCTACCAGCTCTAACTCAAAATATGGACAATGCTATGTTGAGGGGGTCTATTATTCAGTTTGACAGCTTCAGACATACTAATTTTTGACCTTTTTTAACTGGACTAAATCACAGTAAGGCACTACTTCTCACAAAAATTCAGCATCCGAATTTTTTTAACATATAATTTCATCCCCATACTTAATATTTCATGCATAGAAAATAAAGAAATGAATTTGGAAAGTATGAAAAAAATATGCAAGTTATACACTGTCCACACTAGGGGCTATATGTATGTCCTCGGACCATATAAAATCGTATCAATGTGTCCATAAAATGATGATACCTTGAAGACCAGTTATTTTTTCCTTTAATAGTTGCACGTCGACAGATAATTCTCGGATGACATCTTCTTGTCTCTGTATCTCTAGATGTAAATCCATTTTTCCATCCTTCATGTTGTTAATGTTGTTCTTAGACTTAATCAGTAGATCTGAAATGTAATTTTAGATTGGTCACTTAAAATGTTTTGCTAGTATTCAAAACTGAAGACTTTCTATCAATTACATTGGCTGGTCCCATGTTCGAGGAAAAGGGTGTAAAATTCGGAAAAATTTAAAATAGGAGCAATCACAGCGATCATTTCAAATTGACGATTTCATTCCAAAACAAGAATGTGTCCATAGTACACGGATGCCCTACTCGCAGTATTATTTTCTATGTTCAGTGGAACGTGAAATTGGGTTCAAAACACTCATTTGGCATTAAAAGTAGAAATCATACCATAGGGAACATGTGTACTAAGTTACAAGTTGATTGGACTTCAACTTCATCAAAAACTACCTAGACCAAAAACTTTAACCTGAAGCGGGACAGACGGACGGTCGGACGGACGAACGGACGGACGCACAGACCGAAAAGCATACTGCCCCTCTACTATCGTAGGTGAGGAATAAAAATATTATTTTCCGATCGATGGGGTAGGTTCGGGTGCCCCCTACGATCCCGGTTGAATACACCGCTGACTAAAATCCCGATCTAAATTCTCCATTTTAGCACTGTATTAGTCCCAGATTACCAAATGATTCCAGAGATCCTCAAATTTGCATTGTCATAACTGAATATAAAAATAAGGAGATGAGGTATGATTGCCAATGAGACAACTATCCACCAAAGTTCAAATAAAGTGGATGTAAGCAATTATAGGCAACCGTACGGCCTTTAACAATGAGAAAAACCCATACCGTATAGTCGGCTATAACAGTCTAGTTTTGAATACCTGAAAGGTATGAGGTAATTTGAAATCATAAAGATGTATGCACACATCTTATTATGACGATAAAAACGATAAAAACGATAAAAAAAACATACAAATTATATACCTTCGGCTCTGTCTAGTTTTCTATTTGCTTGCTCTAAATCCGATGTCATTTTCTGAGTGTGAGCTTGAAACTTGCATAGTTCTAGCTCGACGGTCTGTTTTTCTTTGTACGTCTGTTTTAGTTCATCTGCCAGTGCAGTTTGTTCTTTTCGTCCATCACTAAGCTGCCGCTTCAAATCCTCGTCGAATTCTGTAAATGTATACTTAATTAGCATTTGATGACATACACACTTCCCTTACTTTCTCTTTTATTGTATTATTAATTGTTGAGTTTTTTGTTTTTGTTTTTTTGTTTTATTTATATTCCTTTTTTTTACCTTTAGTCTTCTTTCTTTCTTTGTTATGTTTGTTTGGTTGGTTGGTTGTTTAGTTTATTTTATATATTAACGAGGTTTTTTATCACAAGAAACACAACCACAATCTATGCATAAAATAATCAAATATGCAAAATATTTGCAGAAACACATCAGTCATGGTATTTTTTCAAGTTTTCCTCCGGAAGTATCTGTATTTCTTTTTCAATGTAAACAGTGTCAACTTTCGCCCACCAGACAGCACAACAGGATGTTAAGATTTTCGAGTGGCATATGCGCCTTCTTGCACCCAGCAGAATGCCCCCCTCCCACCCCCAGCACAAGTCATTATCAAAATTTGCCTAATCAGACAATGTCTGTGGCTTCACTTGTAATAATAACAAATTTAAAGGTGTACATTTTACTTTTATATTTCTACCTTTTCTAAAATCGCTTATAGAAACAAGATCAGCGATATTTCTTGTCAAATCAGCTATGCATTTATTTGTAACACCGAGCTCCTCGAGTACACCTTTTCTGTCATCTGTGAGCGATGTTATTTTACTACTGAGGACCTCTTGTTTCTCTGTTGTAAAAAATAAAATCAGTGTAATGGTTGAGCGTTAGTACATTAGGAAATATGTGTTTGTGTCATTCATTCTTTCAATGCGGATTCTTTTTCATATAGATCATATAATTTCGAGTGTGATACATATATATGAAGTTAGTATATCGATGCCGTTGAAGGATTATTTTTTTAAAAGTATTAGTCATTTTTTGTTAAAGTTTTGATTTTTTTACTCATCAAACTGTAATGATTTTCATCCTCAACTGTATTACAGGATGAACGTACATAGTCGTTTTTCTCCAGAAATTTTTATAAATAGCTTCCTTTTTCTATCAATATTCATTGTGACCGCTAATTTTCATTTTCGTAATACTACATCTTTTTTTAAACAGTTATAACTTAAGTAATTTTCCATTTATAATTTTTGCTTACTTTACATGTACAACGCCTCACATAATTTTAAGAGGCCTTTGTTCTGCCATATCAGGTGGCAAAATTGTTATTAGTCGAAACAAAGTACTGAAGACTGAACATCGGATGACCGCAAGTTCTGGTGGATGGTCTCAGAGAAAAAAAATCATATCTCTATACCTGAAAGTTAGGTTATGGTACATAGATATATTTTTTTCTGAGACAAGTTCCTGTGTGGATGATGAATAAATGACAGGGAATTTAACCTCTCTGTGATAATTATTATATTGTAGCGATATAATCATTTGTTATCAGTATAATCTGGTTTGTTGTTATATATTATATGAATAATTGTATAACAGTTATATATATAGCAGATCATCTCTCGAGATATTCTTTTATATGCGTTAACACAAATTTTCGGTATTCATGATTTGTTACTGATATATATATTTCTCACGACAAAACATTTTCATATCATTTATCTATGTTCTTAAAAAATATTTGCATGAGTATTCATTGAACAAATGAATTTATAACAAGCGATAAGGAATGTTATTTTGCACTCGATAATATCCGCGTATTTATACGAAATACGTTCGGTTATCAGCCAAAAGCGCAAGGGACGTGTGCAGACATTTCTGCGGCAACATAACACCGATATGACCTCTCAAGTTCACATCCGATGTAAAAATGATCTACGACTGATATGAAGATGGACTTGTTTGAGAAATTAAACATTTATTTGTGTAGTCTAAGCTTTGACATGACTGAAAGGAATAATAAATGAAGTGTTTTCACAAAACTACTACATGTACATTTCACTTTTGAAAATAAACCCCTGCATTAACCCTTAACCCTGAAACACATATGAATTTGATACTTACATTGTTAAAAATATACTCTCCGTTTTCCTTTTTTCTTTGTTATTTTTTAACTTTGGATTTTTTTTTATTGAGATGATCTCTTTTCTCTTTTCTTTCAATGAAAAATTATTTTTCTGCTGGCGTCAGTGAAATAATTTCTTCATGCATATTGTATAAGTTAATACAAAAATCAATAAATAATACTTTACTTGGATTTATTTGCATGCATCGAATGCTAAATAAATATATATATAATTTGTTTAAATATACTTTTTCACTTTTTTGGTCTTTTGGAAAATGTTGTTTGTGTTGTATTTAGACCCCTCTACCACGAAATTTGTTTTTGCATGCACACGTATAAAAATTGCGGTTTTTATCCAACGCAATCATAGGTTTGAACGTTGTTTTCAATTTAGACTTATTTATATTTTTTCGTTTGGGCTTGTATTATATTTGCCTTCGGGTTTATATGATCCGTTCATCCTATCTCGACTCTTCAAAATTCAAGAGTCTACCCGAAATTGAGGTAAATTATATGGCCTTCCAAATACCGTTTCGATTCCTAACATCACTGAAGAGACATTAATTGTCGAAATCCGGATATGGTGTACAAATTTTTGCACCTCATGTTAGCGGTATACCATCTTTTCCGCAAGTTTATTGTTTTCTGTTTGGTATTAAATTAATAGTAAAGATCCATTTTGTTACACCGTGTGATCCGTTTATTTGGCAATCGCCAATGGCAGTCAGCAAGGTTTAAGAACATCCGTTGTTCGACCTGTTAGTCAAATGAGTTTTGTTTAAATATACTTTTACACTTTTTTGGTCTTTTGGAAAAATTGTTTAATGTTGTTTGTGCTGTATTTAGACCCCTCTACCACGAAATTTGTTTTGCATGCACACGTATAAAAATTGCGGTTTTTATCCAACGCAATCATAGGTTTGAACGTTGTTTTCAATTTAGACTTTTATATATATAAATTAGTTGCATCGTCTTAACTTCGTTTTTTAAAGGTGAACAAACCAAGAATATTTTTGATAAGTTTCTTCTTTCCGCTTGGTCCACGCTTTAGACTAAACCATTTTCGTCTTCCTGGTGCATCCCCTACGTGACTATCTAAAAAAATATATAAAAAATTTACTAAATATGTATATTGAAAATCGGAATGAATATTTTTGGCCGTGATTCAGAATCGTACAAATGCGATTCAATTACTATCACAGACAATACGGTGTAATTTAAGTAGCCTAAGACATATATGCATGGAACAGAGCGACTCTCGACCATCTACCCTAAACGATGTCATCGATGTTTTATTTTAACCACATGCTTTACTTGATGCTTTGATCCTTGGGTATATAATTTTGAGGATTGTGCATGTACATCACTATTTAAAGGTTTGTTAAAGTTCAATATTAGGCACTATTACAATGAATAATAGACAAATGAAATAAGGAATAGACTAAGAGGAAAATAGAGTTTGAAAATATAAAGAAAAGAGAATAATGGGTAAAATATTAATTGATATAGAATAATCGCCTGAAAAATTGAAACAATGGAAAAGTTAGATACCCCCACCCCACCCCCCGGTTTCCATCCAAAAAGGCCTTATAGACATCGCATGTAATTGTCCTGAAAGTAGGCTGCCAAAAAAATTGGGGCGGAAGATACAAAGGTGACATTTAAAACTCATAAACGAAGAAAAACTGACAATGAACGCAATCTAAAGAACAACAAAAACGGAATCGATGAAACACCAACATGTCTATCCGCAAAACACTACAGAGAAAACTAAAGACTATCCAACACGAACCCCACAAAAAAAAGGTGGTGATTTCTGGTGCTCCGGAAGGGTAAGAAAAAACTGCTCCACATGTGGTAACAATCATGTTGCAGCCACGAATGCCATAAAATCTGGATAAGACTATCTCCTTCTTGTGTACCAAGTCAGCTTTTAAAAATCTTCCTATAATGACGCATATTTACAATAAGGCTGAAACTTGCTACATAGAAGAAACTGTGCCCTGAAATACAAACAATCCGGTTACACGACCTCAGTCTGACTATTCATATAATTGTTACAATACTAACCATCTAACGAGCCCATATCTGTGATGTTCGTCGTTTACTCAGTGAAGACTTACGTGACGTAATTAATCGGCGGGAAGAGGTTAATGTCCAACTGGTACACTTTTTTTTCCAGAATGTGGTAACGTTGTTGTAATTTACGATTTTCTCACCCAAATACCACCCACATAGCGAAGAATTAAAAAAAGACCTACCACAGATTTACCGAACAGATATAATTACTTCTTTAAGAGTAAGTTTTATAGACCACTCTTTATAGTTTACAGTTATACTTATACATGGTAATTCGCGTTTTATTTTTTTCTGATTTGCTTTGAATGGATTTCCCCCATTAATTTTGTATTTTATGATATAAAACATAATGAGGTGCAAAACGACGAAGGCTCATCATGCATCTTTTCAATTTTTATAACATAAATTTAAAGGATTTGTGCTGTAGCTGAAAATAACGTTTTTTAAACTATAATTATTATTATCAGGAACAAACTTAAAGTAAAATATAATGGACGAGACTTGGCGAATGTAGGGTTACATTGGAGAGTGGCTGATAAGGAAAGAATGGTTGCATTATCGCTTGTTCTAGTTACAGTTATCATATTTATGAAGATAAACATAATATATATTATATAAAAACTGGGACCAATAGAGAAATGTTTTAGTCCCAAATCAAAAATAAAAACAAAGAGAAAAGAGTGATGTCCTTTTTTTTGTGGCCTTTAGTAAATGACTTTTTTCATTAGTCGTATAGGAGATATATGAACACTGTAACGTGATCGAGTGAAGAACGACTACGACACAGATAGACGGACATAACCATACTATGACTCGACAATGTATCCTGTAATAAATTCCATTAACTAAATAATACGGATTAATTTTAACATGTTTATTCACAGATGTACATTACGTCGGACTTATGGACAAAGTTAGCCTTACAATGTTGTATATGCAATTCCTCCAAAATATTTATCGATTCAAGACTTAAGGTGGTATGGGAGTATAAACGAAAAACGATAGATTTTTTTCATACTTTGCCAAAATGTAGTATATGTTGTGGTATGCTAAAAAAATATGATAAAAATGATAGGCCACCGAGCTTTTTTCCAAACTGCAGGATTTGAAAAATGTGTAAGGATTATACATAAAAAAAACATTATTATGTGAATAAAAGGCAAACTAGGTGATAGTATTGTAAAATAAAATACGCGATGATATCTCATAAAAAATGTTTTGAGAATATCAAAACAAAAGATAGGGTCTACGTACGTTTTTTCCCCTGCTATAACCTGGGAATATCAGGGGCGGATCCAGGATTTTAGGTTAAAGGGGCGCAAACTTAATTTTTTTTTAGGTAAAATTATCGAAATATTCTTTATTAAGCTGAGGAAAACCAATGCTTTGCAAATTTAAGGGGAGCGCACGCCCGCCACTCCCCCGCCTGAATCCGCCCCTGACTGTTATACTTACGTCAATATATTATGTCCCAGCTATAACATAAAATAGAAAAAAATCATTCATGTAATCTTCTTTAGAAATTATACTATTTCAGAGTTACCTTTCCTTATTCCGCTAATTTATGAAAATTGAAATCAAGCCAAAATAATCTACGTTTTTCAAAATACTAGTTATTATAAGTTGAAATCTCATGATTTGATCATCTAACTGAAAATTCACATGAGTAAATTGAATTCCTACATCAAATTTTGCTGACTTGATTGAAAATCAGTTGTGCTAGCTATTTTAAAATCCAATAAAGCAGGCGAAAGACACCCATACTACCTTAAACAAGGAAATTCACATCCTTGTAGTATCACAGGTGATACACGGACTGACTATAGAATAGAATAGAATAGAATAGAATATTTTATTTCCCAAATTACAGGGCCCATAAAGGGCATAAAATCAGATACAATTGATTTACATAATTGGTAACAACAACAATAATAGTCACTTGAAAATATATATTTAGTATATTAGCATTGGTCAGAATCAGAGCCAAAAACCACATATATATTGTGAATAAAAGAATAAAATTACATTATATGCATTCATTCTCAAATCATTTACTTGACTTAGTGTCAATATGCATACCTGATCTCCTTAATTCAAAACAGTCACAAATATAACAGCCCAGTTTTTCCATAAGAGTTACATTTTCTTGAGTCAAGAGCCATAAAAATTTAGAAGATTTATTTAAATTTTTAAAATTATAACAATTGTCAGATATGTATTGAAAAAGTCTTCCCTTTGAGTATCATAAAGAGGACATTCTAACAAAAAATGAAGCTCATCTTCAACTTTACCAAGTGAGCAATTTGAACAAAGACGCTCAGATCTTTCTATATATTTTTTTGAATATCTGTCTGTCTCAATTTTTAAAGAGTGAGCACTTATTCTTAATTTACAAATTGACTGTCTTTTTTTAAAATCCTGTAGTTCTGAATATTTTTCTTTTTTAAAACAATTTTTTATAGAAAAATGAGTACCAAGCTTCCCTTTTTCAGAGTTAATTGTTTGATACTTCAGTCTATTCCATATATATAGCTACCAGTTTATTTTGAGCAGCTGACCTTATTCGGACCTTCACTGCAGACTAAACATGTATTAAGAATATAACTAAATTGTATTACCCTACTGTACACCTGAGACTACTCTCAGTGTACACCAATGACTTCCGAATCGATTATATGTTTTAATTACATTTGACATTTCAACTTTATGTGCAGATAATAAAAAAGCATTTCTCAAATAAGCCTTGCGTCATTATTTTATCTGTGCAAAAATACACGAAGTTATAGCCATCATACCGCCACAAAATAGCCATTAGTGCTGACTGGGCAGGGGCGGAACCAGCCATTTTTAAAAGGGGGGTTCCCAACCCAGGATAAAGGGGGGGGGGGGGGGGGGTTGGAATTCTAGTCAAATCGGCACCTGGTCAAATCGGCACCCGGTATAGTCAAATCGGTACCTGGTTAAATCGGCACCTAATGTAGTAATTTCGGCACCCATGTAAAATATGTGGAATATGCCTATTTTTTTCAGTAAAATGACTTTTTCTTTAGGTGCCGATTTGACCGGGTGCCGATTTGACTTGTACCCGGGGGTTGGGTTCCGACAACTATATGTCCCCATTCAAATGCATTGACCGTCAAGAAAAATGGGGGGGGGGGGTTCCAACCCCCGGAACCCCCCCCCCCCCCCCCCCTCTGGATCCGCCACTGCTGGGACTATTATACTATAAAAGTCCCAGGTGCTGAAAGTGGTTCTAAAACTCCAATCACTCAATCAATCAACATTGATCAATAAGATGTGACTGTCAATATTTACTAAACATTAAAATATACAATAATTTTGTATTATATGCCTCTTATCGTACTTAAAAATCAAAGAATAGTATTACAAAATGGATAAAACTGAGCAGGAAATAATACGACATAAAAGTACAGACGACCTTTTTTGATATCGGGACCGTTACAACTAATTTATCTTCAAGGGACACAACACTGCTGGGAAAAGAAACAGCTGCAAAGTTTTCATCGTCAAAACTTGCGATAAGAAGCTCTTTGCTTACATTTTAGTGTACTACTAAATCTTGAATATTATAATTGCTAATATAAATGTATGTATAATATTTAATCGTTATGACAATACAAAATAATTGAGCCAGACGCGGAAAGGAAAAAAGGTGGAGGGGTGTTTCTCCCACATATTGTTGCCAAGTTACACATCAATAACCTGTAGAATACTGTTTAATCCTTCTAATTCTCAACCCAAACGATTTCATTTTTTATTTACAATTATGTTATTGGCATCTATTACAGTCTAATCCGCAGTTGATATGTTGTAATAAGGAATTAACTGCCCTATTGACCTTCTGAAATCCTAGTCCAAATAATTATGACGTCTTGAAAGGCTATTATATTTTTTTTCTTTGACGCCTTACGTAAGGCGTCAAAGAAATAAAATATAATAGCCTTTCAAGACGTCATAATTATTTGGACTACTGAAATCCATATTAAATGTTCGATTAATACAGTACAATCGTTTAAAAAAACAGCACTTCTTCAAAAACTCCATTGTTATGCGATATTATCAGAGTTTGAAGCGTTCAAGTAAAGTAACTGTCATGGAATAGAAGTTTCTTCATAATATAAGTTCCAAATGGAAGAAATATTCTGTAATATTATTTCCACTGGAATAAATATTACAGTATATGTTCCTAACGGAATAAATGGTATAGAATATTTGTTTCATCAGGAACAGATATTATGACATTGTTTATGACAAAGTTTCCAGTGGAACTTCTGTTAGGTGGAACAAATAGACGTTGACATAACAACCTTCAGCTTGAGCGTGTGACATTTGTATGACGTCATGTTTCGCCATGACATAAATGCTCCAAGATCATTCATGAAATTTCACAGAATTTTATTTAAATTTTATACATTTTTCCAAACTCTATTGGTCGAGAACCTGTTACTGTCAGAAATTCACAGCTTTTCTCAAATACTTTTTTACAGGAACTCTGGGAAATTTTATATTCTTAACATTCAAAGTGTTACCAAAAGTTAGGGCTAACACTATAGATTCCGACTTTTATTTGTTATAAACAAAGAAAAGCCAGGTTACTACTTTGCCGATTTTTGCATGAAATTTTATAGGTACCATGACCAGTATATTTTGAATCTTGTCATTAAATGATAGAATTTACATTTAATTGGGACATTAATTATGTATTTTGCTTTCGTGTAGCAAGAAGAGAAAAGGGTGCATCAATTAAACCAGATACATCACCATTCTGACCATTAATTTATAAAATTTTGAAGGTCCTCTTCCTGTTCAGAATATATTAACTTTTTGTCACTTGAAATCAACGAATTACACTGTATTAAAGAGACTTATAAGACTTCAATTATGTAATTTTCAAATCTTTTCAAATTCTTTTGAAAGCTGGTGTTTACTATAAAGCAAGGTTAGATTTATTGGTTTGTCTTAAAAACAGTAAATGTTCCGATATCGAGGACATCATAAAGGGATAACGTTATGTCCCAACATGCGTCGTCTCTTCCTAAGACACGTTCAATTTACACAAAATTCAGTAATATCCTATCTAAATCAGATCAATCAAAACCAAGCTTTTACAAATGAAGTAAAAATATTTTTCTGAAGGCATCAGCAGTATGGTATTTTTATACAATGCCCCCATTAGTGAATAATAAGGCAGGTGACAGTAACTGGTAAATGACGATAAGTTGTCCTCGACAAGCAATGTATTATTTCTTTTTGTTATGCATTAGATTAGGAAAAACAATTCTCTGTAGTTTTTTTCTACAATTTCAATTTTTTGGAACCCCAGGATCCCATGCATGTGTATCACAGTTTAAATATGTTATGAAAATAGTGCTCTATCGAAGTGTAAACCTAGGGAAAATATTTTAATGCACCAATTCCCTTCAAGTATTTTTAAGTATGTAAATCATACATTTGTACAATGTCATAAAAGAATTATTTGGAAATAAAAACATATAAGTATATAATATGAATATTTAACCTCAGGTAGTTAATGCAGTCAACAATCATGGCAATATAGATGATCTATCTTACTAAAAAATACATCAGTCATGTCAAAGACGATTTTTTAACTCGAGATATCTTTTTTATTTTTTTTCAATATGCAAGCCTTAGCAAACTTGTGGAAATACTAAATTTAACTATGAAACCAGGAGATTCATTTTGTTACTCAAGAGAGAAAGGAATAACCTTTCTCGGAGGCGGTTTAGGGGGGGGGGGGGCAGGGTACCCGTTGATTATTTTGGGAATCACTGAAGCATGACTAAGTGGGCCCCCCTTATGAAAATTTCTGGATCCGCCACTGTTTCTTCTATATGTTTTGCAGTATTTCTTTATATGTATAACCTCATGGTTGTATGAATATGACAAATATAGCACTGTCCCAAAGAAGCTACTTATAATGTGACATCATAATGAATGATTAGCTCCTTGCTGTACAAATTTATTTTATAAAATACAGTAAGGTAAGAATGAATTATTTAAATGCCAAAAAAGGTGAAAGCCAGGGCTGACTATGTGAGACCCTCATGGGTATAGTCAAGGTCGTTAAACACTCCTGTAGAATAATTAGCTGACAATACAAATCACAACACACCAAAATACATCAACATTTTATCATTACACAAATTGTAAAAATATTCTATTAAAATAATTTACTTTTTACTTTTTTCAGTGACAGTAAAATGGAATAAAGAATATGAGTAAGAGAATCCTGGTAGTTGGTTTGGCATGTGCTGATATTATCAGTGTAGTTCAAGATTATCCAGAGGAGGATAGTGATCAGAGGTTCATACATCATATGAACTGTGGTGGATAGTTTTCTCAATTAGCAATCGTACCTTATCTCCTAATTTTTATGTAGTATACAATTACAGTTTCTGATAGCAGTAGACTGAAGTTTTTATGGATGTATTTAAATCAGTATTGACAGAGCCCAATTTATTTTGTGGATAATGACTCCTAAAGCATTGACCGAATAAGTTACTTTCATAATTTTATTTATTCCTAAATAAGTATACTGTGGATTCATTTATTTTCGTGGGTACCAATTTTCGTGGTTTGAAGAAAACTTGCATATTCGTGGACATTGAATTTCGTGGTTTGGCAAAGTCTGCATACATTCCTTTAGAAAATTTGCAATTCGTTGAACATTTAAATTCGTGGTTCCCCTGTACCCACGAAATCCACGAAAATTGGTATCCAACGAATATTTATGAACCCACACTATGTGATTTAAAAGTGAAAAGGAATCATTTTCAGATTTAAATACATTGTAACATAACATGTAACATAAAGTCCTGACTAAAAAAAATGCTATGTATAAATTTATGTTCGTTTATACTAACTTCTATGGAATGGGAGGAAATTGAATTTCTATGAGTACTTGATTTCATATAGTTTAAACAAATTCTGCAGGTATTGTATTTAGTTGAACACTTTAAAAATTTGGTGTTCACCTATGCCCACAATTTCACAGAGGGTAGGATATGTACAAAATAAAAATAGAAATCTGTATAGCTGTTTAAAAACTTGATCAAACAATTTAGTATAAAATCACTTGGTGTTTTGTGAAAACTATTTTAGATCTTTAACCCACATTAAATGCAACACATTAGGTCAACATCTATAAGGGCCTAATTATAATTAACAAAGTTCTTCCAGTTGAAAGTCAGAGGTTGTCAAATATGATTCATTCTTTACATTTTTTTCAGAGTGCTTGATTATTACTGGCAAAGGGGAGGTAATGCTGCCAATACAAGCTGTGTGCTCTCACTACTTGGAGCCAGGTCAGAGTTCCTTGGCACATTTGCTACTGACAGAGAGGCAGAGTAAGTCAGGTACTAGTCTATATATAAATGGTTTTTGGAAATGTTGATGAAGTTATAAAAACTCAATGTATTGTAAATTATATTCCTAAAAGGAAAGAAGAAGTTTAAATGTTGTATAATTACTAGTATTACTTTGGTATTACAGTTCACTTCAGTTTCCTGTATTGTCCTCCATTAATCGTGGAGCACTAGCATAGGGTATAGTTTTGGAGATTTGGATACTATTTAGGAAGCAGGACAAATCGCCCCACTGGCAAATCGCCCCACACCAAATCACCCCACTTTTTCACCAACTCGCCCCACTTTTAAAAAAATCGCCCCAAACTGGTTTACCAACTCGCCCCACTTTTTAAAAAATCGCCCCACTTGTGAAAAGGGTTAAATCCCGTTTATTTTTCTCCTGCTTACTCGCCCCACTTAATGAAAAAAGGTAAAATCTAGATGAATATATAATTTTCAGGTCTGCCAACTCGCCCCACTTAAATGAAAACTAATCTACACAGAATACAAAAAAAACGAAAATTTATTAAATTATTAATATTGAAATTAAATGATGTTTCACTTTCTTAAAATATAATTGTAAGTACATTATTTATTATCATGTAATTTTCGTATTATTGGAGAATACATTTATTCTTGTAAGCTTAGGAATCTGATTACAGTAGTTGTCGTCTGTTTATGTAGTTCATACGTGTTTCTCGTTTCTCGTTTTTATATAGATTAGACCTTTGGTTTTCCTGTTTGAATGGTTTTACACTAGTAATTTTTGGGGCCCTTTATAGCTTGCTGTTCGGTGTGAGCCAATGCTCCGTGTTGAAGGCCATACCTTGACCTATAACAGGGCTTCCAAAATTTTGTTGAGCCAGCCGGACATTTCATATCTTATCCCGATTTTAAATCCCCTTAGACTTAGTAAATTAGGCAACTATGATAATCAGTTGGCCATCATATATGAGGGGGGGTAGGAGGGGTCCTGATCCCGAAATCCCGGGCTTAAAAACATGGAATCCTGAGGTCCCGAATTTAAAAAAAATTAAATCCCGACATCCCGAAATTCGAAAAAGAATTCCCGGATCCCGAAAGGATCAATCCCGAAATCCCGAGCTTAAAAACACCCGATCCCGGAGTCCCGATAAAGGTCTTACCCCCCCCCCCCCCCTCATATATGATATAACCAATGATTGACATTAAAATGATGTTAAACTTTACTTTGATATAAATTCGATGTTCTGACGTAAAGTGTTAAATTGAAAGTGCAGCATTCGAAGTGTGCAACATCAGCGTACTAATTCCGCTTTAGACTCTTTATTTGTGCAAAATAACGCTGTCAAAAGCTTTACTTTTGTTTTTAAAATCACATTTTCCTTATGCCGGATGTTGACTTGACAATGGTAAATCATTGATCAGAGACGGATACGTAATATCCGTGTAAGTTTACGATTGAGTTAAGTAGCCTTTTCAAGTTATTTCTTCAAGAAAATACTCGAAATGAACGTTAGATAAAGGAATCAATGATAATTTTAGCATTATTGAAGAATTAGGATGCATAATTAAATTTCCCACCAGCGGACAATAGACACATGCGCACACGTGTACTAGTTCAAACAACGTGGTTCTGACGATTATTCGTTTAAAACCTTTTCAAATTTTTCATCAAATCATATTTATTAACGTATTTCTTATAATTTCAATCTTTTAGACTAAATTAATACCCTTTAGCGTACCCAAGTATTTAACACGATGTACAGTGTTTTTAAATATAATACTGAATATCATACATATTCGAATTCATTTATAAATATTCTTATTTGAAGAATTATTTTAAAATCTAAGGAAATTTTTTTAAAACTGAATGGTCATTTACAATAATATCTACAAAGCGTAATTAAATAGGATGTTGTTCCATACACGCTTACATGTTTGACCTCGTTTACCTGATCACCTTTATGTTCATTGTTATGCATCATCAATTCTATTGATTAAGACAAGCTAAGGTCTCTCATCAAAGATAATGACCTGTAATCAGTGAATGATTTATGGCTTCAATATTACTTATTGAAGGGATAATTGTTTGACAGCTTGTTGTTTTTTAAATAAAAGAACAAATTTTTTTTCCTACTTTTTATTGATGTACCAAGCCGTGCATTTGTGTACCCAGAGAATTAGACTAACTGAGACACTTCAAAGTATGAAATATGCTGCATCTGTTTAATAAAACCCAAATATGACAGAAATATCTTTGTGAAATAGATTGCCACAATTATAAACTATAATGCCCAAACGGACATTTTTACCGATCGATAGTTGGTAAAAAATGTGAAATGACCGTTTTATGAAAATGCCTTGAATAACAAAAAGTGGCAAACCTATGATATTTGACCGTTTGAGGCTGAGAGCAGCCGGACTTTTTATATAAATTTCGGTCAAGTCCGGAATATATGACCGTTTTGGAAGCCATGACCTATAATGGTTTACTTTTATAAATTGTTACTTGGATGGAGAGTTGTCTCATTGGCACTCATACCATATCTTCCTATATCTAATTAGTTATTTGCATAACAATTGAAAAGAAACCTGTTAATTGTATCGTAATCCGATATTTTATCATAACAATTGAAGGATTTCAATTAACAGCAATTTGTTTTTATAGCACTAAATGGATTGGTTACTTTTGTCTAATTAAACACTAACGAGCAATCAGTGAAAGGCAAATGTTACTTTCAAGTAAATATCAAAGAGAATGTCCATTCATTCTAGTCAAAGCAGGTTTTGTTGTTGTTGAAAAATTGGTTGGTAAGTTTTGTTTATGGTTTGAAAACAATAAAAATTGAGAAATTTATGGCTTGGTTTCAAAATTATAAAAATTAAAGTGGCCTTTGTCATGCATTTACTATGTCTACTGTGTATCCTTGTGCTGTATTGCAGTGGTTTATTCTCCCTTTTATTCTTCTAAGCATTATGTAAGCACTCTTTTAGCACATCAAACTCAAACTAACATTCTCAACCACTACGGTTGTATATTGTATTAGATTTTTCAAATATATAAGGGACTGGCCAGTTCACACCAATCTGAGTGTTGAGAAAGAAAAAAAAAAGTGCTGTATTGCAGGCAGCATATCTTCCATATGCCATATATGTGTATTCATGTTCATGTTTCTAGTACTGACATATAATACTTCGTTTTATGTTATCATGCCAGTGCTTGTCATAGTTGATTTAATGTATGTTTGTTTAAAATGATATTGTTATGCATACTTATGTAGATGTGCAAACCTGTCATCTGAGAGTAAAATTATGTAAACACACATGATTCTTGACTTATCATATGAAACATTGAATATATTTACCAGTAAAAAAACGTCACAGAAATGCTGATGCTTACTTCTTTCTGCTTTATTTCAACCAAAAGAAAATAACAAAAAAAACCTGATGCATTTCTAATGTTTTCACAAGTGGGGCGAATAGGCCTAAATTCATTACAGTTTAATTCTTTTATTCATAAGTGGGGCTAGTTGGTAGGCTTTAATTCTGTACATACTTTTATTTATCAGTGGGGTGAGTTGGCAGACATAAATTCAACGGCATTACTTCCTTTTTCATAAGAGGAGCGAGTTGGCATGACTCAATTCATCAGGATTTTTCTATTTTTCATAAGTGGGACTAGTTGGCATGACTCAATTCATCAGGATTTTTCTATTTTTCACAAGTGGGGCTAGTTGGCATACAAGTCGCAGAAATACTGATACTCAATTCTTTCTGCTTTATTTCAACAAAAAGAAAAGAACTACAAAAACATGTTTATCTAAGGTTTTTATAGGTATTGATTTTATTTATAAGTGGGGCAGGAACATAGATATACAACGGGATTGCATCTTTTTTCATAAGTGGGGCGAGTTGGCATTACTGAATTCATTGTGGTTTATCTATTTGTCATGAGTGGGGCGAGTTGGCAGACCTTATTTCAGCGGGATTTTCACCCTTTTCATAAGTGGGGCAAGTTATCCAACCTATTTTCAATGGGATTTTACCCTTTTTCATAAGTGGGGCGAGTTGGTGAAAAAGTGGGACGATTAGGTGTGGGGCGATTTGCCAGTGGGGCAATTTGTCATGGATTCTACTATTTACACCTGTTAAATATAATAGTAACAATAAAAATTCCAGAACCCAAATATACTTTAAAAGTTCAAATTGTGTCTAATGTTACAAAAATGTTGCATGATACACAAAAAAAAAAATGTGTACATGTATTACTTAATATTTTAAAATTAACTGTACAAGTTTGTATTTTACAGATTTTGAGAAGGAATAACATTTCTACAGCAATATATAATTAAAAATTGAAATAAATTAGTATTTAATCTGTTATATTCAAAAAACATTAACTGAAATATTAAGGAGTCTTCTTCAGAGTTGGAAACCAATCAGTTGAATATTTAATTAACTTTTAAAAGTTCTATAGATTTCCTTTTCTATTTTGAATAGTTCTTTCTTTTTATATTTAATTAAATTGTAATAGAATAGATATATATTATGCATTAATTTTACAGATTTCTGAAAGAAGTATTCCAGAAGTTCAATGTGATTACAGAAAATTGTGTTACTTGTACAGATGGTGTCAAAACACCAACATCCATTGTCATAACCAACAGCAAGAATGGATCCAGGACTATACTGCATCATGGGAAGTATGTAATACTATAATTTGTTATGGTTTCTTGTGTAAATGCGACAGCTGCTTGCCACTCCAATCTAGATAGACTAGGACTGCCAGTTTTCCTGCAGTAGGGTGTTAGATTCCTCCGGGCACTCTGGCTACCTCCACCAATAAAAACTGACCGCCACAATATAACCAATAGTGTATAAAGTGGCATTAAACATCAACAATCAATTAACCAATCAATGTAAACTTGGCAATTTATTAGAGTATGACAAATGGTATTCACTGGAATAATGTTATGCAGAAATATACAAAATTTTAGCAGCCATGGGTTACTGGGACATCAGAATTTCCATCTCTATATAAACATTTCTGTTAGATTCGTATGTTTCAATCTAGATATCTTATTTTTTTGCATGTTAGCATGGTTAGTGACCTTTTTGATTTATTATCTTCTAGTCCAAAAAATAAAATTTGGGATCCATTGACTTCAAGTTTTATTGCATGTTGATTTTCAGGGTTTATTTAATTTGATATGATGCATAAGTTAATAAATTTATAAGTATTAGAGCATTTTAGTTACAGAGTTTGACTTTTAAGAAATTGTCTAGTTGTAAGAATTGATTTTTCAAAATCCTCCACAACCAACATAAATTCTATGGGTAATTTTGCATACATCAAATGTACGTACAACAACAAATGAACAACAGTACAAGTCCAAAAATAGAACTCCCTTTCCCACCTTCCCACTTTCATTTTAAAGGAACAGCTCTAATTGATTATATTACAAAATCAGAAGAATTATTCTGTTCTGAGTGTTTTATTTGTGTCCAAGGTATATATCCAATTTAAACTCTCTAAATTTCAATAAATTATTTCAGAAATTGGCCAGAAATAAAACCAGAACATTTTAAAAATCTAGATCTGACTCAGTATAAATGGATTCACTTTGAGGTTAGTGTATTTTTTTTGTATAAATTAAATGGAGATGTACATCAATAGTGATCGAGACAGCTACTAAACAAAGCAAAAACTCAAACAACGTCTAGATGTGAAATTGCCGTTGTTAAAATACCTACACACAATGCACAATATGTGAAGCTCTTTTAACCCCTACTCTAGAAAAGTTAATAACTTTAAATAAAAAATATCACAAACTGCCATGTAACTACGAAATTACCCAAAGGAAAAAAAAATAAAGATAAAGACAACTAATGACAAGTTGTCCGACTTGGGACGGCCACATGAACATGAAACAGTTTTAAAACAACCCAGCTTCAGAGTAAGAGGGTACACTGGTTTACCTATGTTCATCCCTCACTCTGTTAATGTGTAACCATGATAACACTTGTCAGTTGCATTTTTTTCAACAAGTTTTTTTGAATGTTGGTGTGACTGATTGAGTTGATGCAAACCCAGTATATGTACTACAAATTATTATCAGCAACGGCAATAATTAACTTTTAATTATGATTTAAGAATATATTTGGATTGTAGAAATGCAGTTTTGATTAAAAGGGCCTTAAGGTCAAGTTACAGTAAATGGGCTATGTCACAGATTTTCCTAAAATTTTGCATACACCTTTGGCTCATTTAACTGTATCTGAAAATCGAAAAAATTATGCCTTTATCTCTTTTTTTCCCTTAAATATTACTGATTGAATTCTTTCAAAATAGGTGCCCATTTGTATAGAAAGCACATAAAATCAGCGAAAAAACGTTCTTAAATTTGTCTTTAAATCATCAAATTTCCAATTTTTACTCCATAGATTTTCTTAAAAAACTATATGTTCTTGATACAGAAATTTCAGTTTTATTGATGTAAAATAATAATAGGGTCACCAACTTCGTTTTTACGGAATACATCAAGCAAAGTGGTGTACTTGGTGAAAAAATACACAAAATGGTCAAAATAATCTTAAGGGCATCCGATACAGTTTCAAGGGAGTTAACTCTTGGCGCGACGTGAAGCGATTGAATTCCCGCAAAATGTCACTTTCTACGGGACATTATGCATGTAATTTTCCGTAATAAGAACAATATTTTGTATAATCAATGCTCCAATTTATGTTTCTCACACATGTTAACTTCTACACCATTAAGATTAGTGCATTTGATTCTAACAGGATAAAAGTCTAATAAAATTATAAGAAATTAAACACATATTACTGCTTCTGCTGTTCCTCGTTTTCAAGCTTCTGTGAGATCTTCAACAAAATATCGTATAGTGAGCAATCACAAGACAAGTGACCCTTTTGGTGTTACTAATATAATGCATGTTAATTATCATTTTTATTATCATTCATCATCCATGATCAAATTTTGATTTGGATCTGATTTTTCTGACATTTTATTACAGCACAGAAAAGCAAAGTTTTTTTTTAAATCTAATACCGAAATTTAGGTACATGAAGAAGTAAATTTCCTAACAGAACATTTTATTCCATTTATTTATGTGAAATAAAGGGCAATAACCAAAAACTTTAATTTTTTTTACAATTATCTTAGAGAAATGACAGATTGACAGCAAATACATTGCAATTTTCATTATAATTAATATTTTCAAGGGGCATAACACTTTTGAAAAATAGTTGATAGGCACTGATTTTCAAACGTGTCCATACGATATAAGTTTTATAATAAAAATCCGGCAAGAATTGTACACTTGAAAATCTAATAAAGCGGATGGACAGACAGAGGAACGGACGTGAGATATTTCTATGTACCCAGCAACGCATGGCGCGGGGGACAAAAATATATATAGTTATTTACCAATAAAATCACGCTTTAAGAGAAGTATTTGGATTTTAATCGCACCTTTACCCTCCCCCCATTAAAAAAACCTGCATTAAATACCGAGGAGAAAGTATGCGTCTGAACGTATACTACCAAGATTATAAATGCTCTAAGAAGTTACTTGCTTTAAAATCGTAATTTGGGACGATATATGTTGAAATTTTAGAGAGGAATTAAAAGGAACAAAAACAAAACCAAAGTTATGGGGGATGTATAGGTAACATGTACAGTCTTCTAGATATTAATTCAATCGTTTTTTGCCAAATCAAAAACTATGAAAAATTTCTAAATTTTGGTATAGTTTCTCTGTCTGGTAAAAGCCTCCTTTTACAAATTGAAGATTCTGCTTTATAAGATTTTTTTTGTTTTCTGACAAGTTCCGTTGGCAAGAAAAGACCTCATGTATAACTAACCTTTGTGATGACAGATGTGATCCAATGGAAATAAGTATATACAAGTGAACTTTAAAAACTGGATAAAACATTAGGACCCTCCAAGTTTTATTCAACTGTAATCATTGACCCGAATAACAGTTTGATTTTATGAATAAATGTGAAATTCTTAAAAGAGAATAAAATGTGAATAAAAGGATTTTAAGGTATATTGTAATGAAACTACAGCCCACCAACCAAAACAAAAAAAAGCATCAAGAGGTCAACATATGGTCTCAGACAATACATGAGTGTGTACTGTACCGGCATGTCTAGCTCTAAATTGCCACAAGTCTTTAGATTAAGCCGTAAAAAATACCAGCAGTCCACAATAACTATGCTTGATATGTTTCTCACTTGAGAAGTATTTATGATACACATGATTTTATTTCCGAAAACAATATTACCAATTTATAGGTAGCTCTTTATAAGCAATATTTATACATCTGAAAAATGTCGCCAATAACTTGCGGAGATAATTGGCAGGAGACGTTGAAATTGTCTGCCAGCGACGTCGTGCATTTTCGCGCTTACGTTGAGGTTATCAAGGGGGGGACGCAATTTTTTTTGTGGAATCCAACACGGTGACATATATTTTTTATTTCCTATATTGAGGAAGCATGACAAAAGGCAGTTAATGTAGAAAAATGAGAAAAATGACAATATGAGAACCTCTCGATTTCCACATTTTAAGGTAAAAAAATATCCTTCTTTGAGCATCTTATCCGTAATTTTAAGCATGGCTTAAATAACTAACTAGTCATTCTTGTAGGGATCTATTTTTCCCCTTATTTTAACTAATCACAGCATCAGATTGAATCCAATCTTATCAATTTATGACGAAGAATATATACTCCAAAATTTTTATAACTTTGCTTAACATTTTAACAAAAGTGCAAAATACCCCAATTTTCAACCTCAATTTTCTCGAAAACAAGCATGGTAACCTATGTTTTATTTGGTGATTTCTTTTATAACTCGCCCAGGCCTACAACATATTTCAAAATTATAAAAATGACAATATAACGTGAAACTGTATCGGATGCCATTTACGTCATCGCGTTGTAGACCCTAAATTGTCGATTTTTGACGTTTTTTACTACAGACAAGGTAATGGATTTGTTAATACACGAAAAACGAAGTCGGTGACCATATGATTATTTTATATCATTAAAACGGAAATGTATGTATCAACAACATATAGTTTTTTAAGAAAAATCTTTGGAGTAAAAATATAAAATTTGTTGATTTTAAGGTAAATTTATGAACTTTTTTCGTCGATTTCATGTGCTTCCTATACAAATAAATGTTCACCTATTTTGAACGAATTCAATCAGTTATATTTCAGAAAATAAAAGAAACAAATGTATTATTTTTTCGATTTTCAGATATAATTCAACGAGCCCAACTGATATGCAAAATTTTACCAAAATCTGTGACATAGCCCATTTACTGTTCCTTGACCTTAAGTGTCCAAATGTTAGGGGATGCATGTAGTTGTGATTATTATAAATTTAAATTTTTTCAAATATTTTTAAGGGAAGACCATCATGTGATGACATTAAAGACATGTTATCGTGGATAGATGAATACAATAAAACTGTCGATAAAGATGCAAGGATTCGTACATCATTAGAGATAGAAAAAACCACTAGAATTGGTCTAGGTAATTTAAAAACTCAATGTTTTTGTCATAAATTTTGTCACAGAAAGCATGTTGGCCAAAGCATATTTTGTGTATGACACTTAAAAGGAGGAGAGCATTGATTTGAAAATTTATTCCTGATCAGATGACCAAATCTTTAACAGCTACTAGTAACAGCAAAAAAAAACAAAACAAAAACAAACAAAAACAAATACTCCCCCACTTGAAATATTGTGCTTTTGAAGAGCAATTGTTTTTTCTTAAGTTTGTTTAAAAATTCTGAGGTTTATACAGAGGTCATAAGAGGTTCAAATTTGTTTTAAAGAAATAAAGGCAGAGGACTATGTGAATTTTCAAGTGATAGGCCCTCCCTGAGAAAGTCAAAAACCCTGTATAAAGCATCAGTGCAAACGATGGGTACTGGACTTTCTAATTAAAAATTAAAGGTTCCCACCCAAAAACACAGGTCTCGAACCTTGGACTTGCACTTATATTGTCTAATTTGAACCTCATACCTATATTTTAGTCTTTTTAAATTCATAAGGCCAGATATGGTACAGATTCCCGAAGTTTCCTAAACACTGACATGGTCACTGATGAAATTGATTAAAGGGGTTCTTTATATAATTAATAGATGTCAATGAATGGACTGTAATTGTTGTTATTACATTGTTTGCAATGAATTACATTGATTTCCTAGTGAAATAAAAATCAATAATTTCACGTGAAATAAACATGGTTTTGTTGTCAAGACGTCGATAACATCGGATCAAAACAAATTGTGAATGCGTAGAAAAAGATATAGTTCTTTACATTTTCTACATAAATTTCATGAAAAAAGTCATTTACCAATGTAATAAAAAGAATAACTACGCGCATTCATGAATTAATGTGGTGTTCGGTCACTCATTGAATATTTTTCTCTATTTGAATTCTTCGATTAGTTATTCTATAATTATTACTTTTTGTCTTTTTTATATTTTGTTAGATAACCTGTTCAATACAGCAGACACATTATTTGTAAGCAAGGATTATGTCAAAAGTAGAGGTTATAACACTAAGGAAGAAGGTGTTCAGAAATTGTCTGTCAAGTGCAGAGAAGGGTAAGATATAATTACTGTTTATCAGGTTTCTGCATATTGATAACGTAAAATATCAGCTCTGATCCACAGCATGAAGCATTTTGTTTAGTGAGCACAGGAAACTAGTTAAAATTGGCTTAATTTTGAGTAGAGCAGCTGATATCTTAAACTATCAACATGATGAAAATTATTCTTTTTCAGATTGTTTTGGGTTATTTTTTTATGATAAAAACTAGTTTTTTTTCATTGTATAACAAGAAAAAATATTTAATGTCAAAAGGTTCTGCTAAGAAGTTTTATACAAGGCTGAGTAATTTAGAGTGATACAGGGATGGGGAAGACTTACTAGTTCTTTGCAGATTTTCATGGAATGTATGTCAAAGGTTTACATCATCAATGTTTCTGTTAAGACTGAAAATCAGTTCCAAAAAGCTATTTTTTAAGGATTTATGCCTCTTAGAAATATAAGTTATTTAGAAAATTGCATTGTAAGCACTCTGAAGCCTACATTTCCTGTAGGATTGTTATGAAATTTATATCAAAGGTTGATATCAGAAATGTCTAAGACCAGTAAATCAACCATTTTTACAATTTAGTTATGTCTCTAAGAAATGTAATTGCATTGTAAGTGCTCTTTAGTGTACAATTATTTCCAAATACTTAAGAACTTGAGGGCATGCAAGCAAACTATTTTTACAGGAGTTACATGAAATAAAAAAGACCTAGAAAAATCCAATTGCACAAGTTTGCTATCTATTTATATCTATATTTATGTTTATATCAAGTTATTTGACTGTCAGCAGTCATCAGAGGTCACTTCAATGGTTAATTAGATGGTGTCTAAACTTAAATTAACACAAAATGCTGATACATATTATTGAGCCCATGCATTGTAAATTGTTTATTTTAGACTTTTCATAACTTGGATATACCTTTTAGTATGTTTTAAATCAAAAATTAGAATTTGAGTCAAATCAGTGAGAATGAATTTGAAAGCTAATGCCCCTTTAACAAAGACAAATACTAAAAAGGGTTTGAATTCTAGTTTATCCCATATTGGTCAAAATTTGTATATTTTGTTTGTTATGAATTGTATTTCAATTACTTCCAGATCTGAAATTATTTGCCCTTGGGGTGAAGAAGGAGCTGTTGCCAAGGGAACAGACAGACTGTTACATTCTTCTCCAGCTTTTCCTCCGAAACTTACACCAGGACAGAATATGGAAACTTTAGCAGCTGGTGATACATTTAATGCTGCCTTTATTTTGTCAAGGTCAAAAGGTCAAAGTTTAAATGAAGCTCTGACATTTGGTTGTCAGGTGGCTGGTGCTAAATGTGGAATGAAGGGTATTGATGGGTTAGATACATTTAAATCATGATGAAAGGCTACATATTTGTTACATGATATATAAATGATAATTGAATAAAGTATTTTGAGGGTTTGATGGATTACTGGAAAAGAGCTTTTTCAGGTGAAATGATATTTAAAAAAAGTATGAGATGTATTTTATAAACTTTATTGCCTTTAAAGAAAATAAGTAAAACATTCTTACACTTTGAAAAAACGTTTTTCTAATAATGATGCATTATTGCTTCTGTCTCCCATCAGAGATGATTGAAGCATTGAAAATCATGATATTAAGGTTGTTTTTTAATTCATGCCTTGTATGAAAGCTAAGATAAACACACTTTGAAGCATTGGGTCTACTTTATTTTGGGAATATGTATTTTTGGGGCCCTTTATAGCTTACTGTTCAGTGTGAGCCAAGGCTCAGTGTTGAAGACCGTACTTTGACCTATTATGGTTTACTTTTATAAATTTTGACTTGGATGGAGAGTTGTCTCATTGGCACTCATACCACATCTTCTTATATCTATGTAGAAAATGTAATAGTGTATAGACTAACGTTTGAAAAGAAATATTATTTGAGTATTTTTTCTTACATTGCTTCTTTATTCAAAATTACTTGTAATTTAGCGAAATATTTATGATGAAACTATTTTCAGGAATAAATTTCTGTCAATCCACCTATATATCACAAAGAAACCAGTTTTATGCAAAATGAGTGAAACCGGTTCAATGTATGTAACCAGATTAAAAAAACATTTTTTAATGAAAGTACATGATAAATTCTATCATAGAATGTCTTGCACTTTATGAAATATTGGTGCAGGTGCACTACTGATTAAAGTTCTCAAGAATTATATTGAAATACATTTTATTAAAAGATTATTGTTATTTTATTCATGATAATTGTTATTTCTTTTATGTTAAGTATTATAATCATGAAAACAAACGTTAAATAAAAGAATATGAATATAGCTATTATCTGATTTTGCCTTAAGATGTCTTCACTCCTTGGACTCTTTCTATCAGCTTTCATTTGAAACTACATGATCCAATTTATGGACCGTTTGGGTCTTTTGCTTATACATGTCTGTTGAGAATGCACCAGAGGATGGATTCCATATTGGATACATATTAGATATATATAATTATAGTCCTTTAACGATGACCTTTTTTAATGCTAATGTTTAACCATAGGGACCATTGAGAGCTTTTGTCTTGACTGTTCATACCACATGCCCAGTTTAGACCATGGTGAGCTTTTGTCCTGACTTTTTATACCACATGCTAAATTTAGACCGTAGTGAGCTTTTGTTCTGACTAATCATACCATATGCTCAATTTAGACAATAGTGAGCTTTTGTTCTGACTTTTCATACCACATGCCCAATTTAGACCATAGTGAGCTTTTGTCCTGATTTTTCATACCACATGCCCAATTTTGATCATTGATGAGCTGAATTATCCTTAGTGTGTATGTGATAAAGTTTGTGCATTTCATTAACTCTGACTTCATGGTAAAACTAACTCTGAGAGGCACTAACACAATCATAAATCAACTTCTTATAGGAGTTGCTGCCTTCAAAAGATTTTGTCCTTATAGATAGAGAAACTGTAAGCAACAAAAATGATCTTCACATAAGTCAATATTACTGAAATGTATGATTGACCCATGATAGGAATGATTATCTTTTTTTTTGAGTGGGCATCTACATGTATATTTAAAACCATGATAAATATATAGACTGTAAAGAACAAATGAACAGCATTCCAAGATCTACATATTATTATACACAATATAACTGAAATCTACAGTTGATTCATTAATAATTTCCTTAAATTGCCACTTCTGACACATTATCTTTATGAATTGGCTATAACCTTTACCACTGTAAAACAAAGAGAAATTGTTAACAGGTAAAATTATAAGCAAGACAATATACAACACGAACTTATATCTAAAATATATTGTCTCAACCTTTTGGGGCATTTGTCATTGAAAGACGTAGCCATAACCTTTTTTTAAATGTTTTACACGAGAATCTTGCCAATTCTAACATAGTCACAATTTTTGTTAATGACATGAAAGATGGCTGACTCTGTTGCTTATCGTTTTGCTGAATTATAGTTTTGTATAGGACAGGAGTCTGGTCCAATTTATCTTACTTTAATATTATATGGTAGATATAATTAATTATTCGAGCATATTACAGTATCCTGTTATAAAAACAATATCATTTGGACTATTTCAATTGTGAAATTTTTACTGCAGTCGTGATTTTATCATGATAAAAACTTTACTATTTATTAGACAAAGGAATGTTTTATTTTCTTCAACTGTAAATAAATTATGTAACAATTTTTCACAAATTATTTACCAAAACTCACATTTATTTATCAATTGTCTTTTGTTATTGAATAGTTAAAGATGACTTTAGAGTGTTGCTGAGAGACATGATCAATCTCTCCTCAATTTATTCACACTAGGGTCAATTTCCAAGGATTTTATTCCTTTCAGTGCAAATTTCCAAAAGCATTATTGCTTAACCCTCATTTTCAGTGGCAGTAGAAATTCTCGCCTTCATCTCGGTCGATCACCTTTGCAGAACCTACCTATTGCATAAGTTATTAATTTGTTCTAGCCTGGGACTATTATACTAATATACTAGTATGATAGTCCCAGTTCTAGCATATGTTTTGACTATTTGCCACTTAACGTAAAACAATCTTTGCTAATACACAGTTACATAGGTTCATACTACTATGTTCAATTTAAGGCTAAAACAATTTTTTGATGTCTTTCGGGATATGTGTACAAATTATACATGCCCAAAATTGCTTGGGGCTTCAATTGCTGAGAGTGAATATTGTTCATTCCCATCTGTTCATACATTTTTAGGCCATGTCGATCTTGCTATTAGTAACTTGCCAGTATTTCTTTGATTACTTTTAACTCAAAAGCTACTTTTGCTGTCGTTTGATTAGTTCATCAATAACACAAATATCTTTAACAACAGACACTGCTCTGTCAACATCATACTTTATGACTACTACAGCCTCTCGTTACAGAAAACATGTGCATATCAACCGACAAGGAAAAATACACTGTAATTTCATAAATACATGAAACTTATTGCTTTAGTTATTGCCCTGAAATGTCTAGTTTTAGAAATCTTTGATGTTATTATAGTTATCAAAGGTACCAGGTTTATAATTTGAAACGCCAGACGCGCGTTTCGTCTACACAAGACTCGTCAGTGACGCTCAAATAAAAATAGTTAGAAAGCCAAACAAGTACAAAGTTGAAGAGCATTGAGGACCCCAAATTCCAAAAGTTATATTATTTGAAAACTACTTATGACTTTAAAATCATTTGGAACACTAATATTTGTTTTACCAACTGACAAAGATGACTGTGGCAAAATTTGTACCACTACATGTATTTGTAATTTTTGGTTTACAATTAACGCTTCAACTTCTTAATTGATCCGGCATTAAAGTGTTTCGACTTGTGTACCATTGTGACAAAATAATGATTTGTACATTGTTTTGCCATTATCTTGAAAAACTGACAAATAGTCTGAAATATAAACCAGCAAAAACATTTAGATTATGACCAAAATGGTCAGTCAACTCCTTATAAAAGTTATTAGCCTTCAATGATGATTTTTCACTATTTTTGTAATTTTGGCGAATACCATTAGACAGAAACTGTCAGCAGGAAAAGTTTTCAGCAAAATAAGTTAACTGAATCGACAATCGACTCGGTGACATTGAAAGAAATGTCTACCCGTTTATCTGGTTTTGGCTTTCCCTTTCAAAACTATACAAATTAGAAAGAAATAGGAACTGGAAACGTGAGCAAACATATTTAAGGTTTACGACCCCTTCTGTGGCCTGTCAATTACGAAATTTTCAAACTGCAATAGTATCAAAACAGCAAAGACCATGGATAATAGAGATGGACCATTTTGTACATATATTAAGGGGAAACTTCGTGCAAAGCATTATTATTCATAGTTTAATTGTATTTAGTAGAAAAAGAGAATTTGGTGAAAATAAAACCAAGATTTGTGTAGAAAATCCACAGACTTTAATACAGAGATTTTTGTTATAAAATTTTAAACACAGATTACTCACTTGTTTTTCATGATCAGCTAGCGTTTATTGTTTACAAAAAGTCCTAAACAACCTTTGAATTCCAAAACACCTAGTGCTGAGTCACCAAAGTCGAGCGCACCCTAAAAGGTGTACTTTAATTGGTCCATATTTATATTTGTTTTAACCAATATCTAAATTTATAAACTTGTTTTAAGGAAATCATCGCTAGCACTGCATGCAATAATCCTCTATCTATCAAGCATCGAATCGCCAAATATAAGTGTACAAGGGGAAAGGCTGTGGATTTTCTATAAACTTTCCATATGTTTAGCATTGAATCAACACAAGGGTACATAATCTTAAACTTACAATAAGTCAGCAAAACCAAAATATACAAACCGACTCACTGTAGGAGTTAGTGCTCTTTTTACCGTTTTTTTTTTTGTGGTTTTAACTGTTTCACTGAAATCTATAAAAAATTGAAAACAACACGTTTAATAATTGCATGCGTCCGAAGCGCTTTTCTGGATTTACCTTCTATAACATATAGAGAGAAACTAAACTGCAAAATAAAAAATCAACAAAATAAAATCAAGTATATTTTTAAAAAGTCCAATTACTCCTTGAATGCGTTATTGGGCTATTCCAGAAATAATCCATACCCCCTATAGAAGGTTAAGGATTTCCAGAAAAAAAATCAGTAAAAAACTCTGATTTTCCAGAAAATATTCTCTTAGTCGCCAATAATTTCCAGAATATTTCATAAATTCTAAAAAAATATTCCAGGAAAAAAATGAGAATAATAATAAAAGTTCCTAGAAAATATCCCTTGGAAATAAATATTTCCACACAAATTTAACTTCCAACACAAAATTTCGAGATAAAACATTTTCATGAAACATATAAGTTTTAATATTGTTTATATTGCGTCATACATGTAGATGATTAGATTAAACTCATTCATTCAGTGTATATTTACTTGATTTTGTTTAAATGTCTTTTTGATCAAGTTCAGCCATTTCAATTGATATTTTATAGTGGGTCTTTTTATATTGTAATGTCACACTACGGTCTCAGGTTAGGGTTAAGGTTGGCTCCTGTTATAATTTTTAAAACTGCTGCATTTTTATGCACTTGTCCTATGTCAGGTGCAGTTGTTCAGAGGTTGTCGTTTGTTGGTGTGGTAACTGGTTCATAAGTGTTTCTGGTTTTTCATATAGATTAGACTGTTGGTTTTTCAGTTAATTTTGGGGTCCTTTATAACTTGTTATTTGGTGTGAGCCAAGGCTCCATGTTTTTGACCTATAATTGTTAACTTTTTATTCACTGTGATTTGGATGGAGAGTTGTCTCATTGGCACTCATACCACATCTTCTTATTTATATCAACTCATTCATTACATTGTTTTAAAGTTATAAGATGACTTAAAAGCTCATTAGAGCTTGTGTTTTTGTATGCTTACAATACCGTGTATGATCATCTAAAACAGTTATTAATGATTATATATCTTTAACAGTCAATAGACCTTAATATTATTTGGGAATCTGCAACAGTTGACCTGACAATTTGCGGTACTTGAACTTTTAATCATCATGATCATACAACAATCACTTTTCCTTTTTGGCATCAGAAATTTTTTCTTGCGACGTCAAAACTTCTTCTGTGATTTCCAGTTATGGTAGACAAATAAAAGTATAGAAAACAAACAACAGTTAACAGATAAAAACATACAACTAAAGGACAAATGCTAGATTATAGTTTCATCAACCAAATAACCAGAAAATTACCCAATTAACATCTTATATTGATAAATCATTTAGTCAAACACTTGTTTATCTATCTTCACAGTAGGAAGTTGTCCAGTGACCATAAT